GAGTGCATCCACCGAAAATGGCTCTTCACTCTGCGCGACAATCTGAGTTTGTTCTCCATCTTGGACTACTCTGACAGGTCTATAATTTCCTTCGTACTTGAACATTTCTACTGAGTTTGCTTCTGTGACAAAAGACCTATGATCGGCCTGCACCACCTATGCTTCGCCATTGTCATTCCAAAAAACTAGGCACTGGTGGAGCGATGAAGGTATACAGAGACTTCTATGTATCCAATCTCTTCCTAATAACACATTGTAACTAGTAGGACCATCTATTACAAAGAAGACTGTGGTCCTAGTAGTTGTTCATATAGTTATGTCCAATGGCATAACCCCTTTGGCTGAAATTGCTCCTCCATTGAAACTCGTCAGGATGACTTCCGTTGGGATCATATCTCCTTCTGTCTTTGCGAATTTCCTCATCATCTTAGATGGAATGGTGTTTATAGCTGCTCCATTATCGACAAGCACTTTTGTCACAGGTATGCCGTTAACTAGAGCTTTAACGTACAATGGTCTCAAGTGTTTGGTCAATTTCATGGCTGGTCGCTTGAAAATAACTTTTTCGGCAGCACCTATTTCCACTTCCTGCTTGTCCCCCGTCGAGTTACCCTTTTGTGATAAGTCAACGTGCAGCATATCGCACTGAGCCTCTATCTCTTGAATTTCCTTTTTACTGTTTTCTAATGCTTATTCTTCAGTTACCCAACTTGTGGGAGGGGGCATTATTCTTGGAGGTGATCCATACTTTTCAGAGCGAGGCACTCTCTTCTTCTTTTTGGGCGTCCCGTACAGCACATAAAAATCGAAGGAATGCCTAAATGGTTCTCCCAATAAGTCTACTTCACGAACTCCCTCTCGATGCAGTTGCTTCAACAGAGTGTTGTATGATTCTCCTCTTTTTCTTCTTTCTACCTCTAGATCTATTTCTTCTTTGATGTCTGTCATACCATCATCTTCTTCACCATTGTAGGCCTCTCTAGAAGTTTGGCCTTCTTCATATTCCAGCATGCATGCTTCTTCTTCGTTATCCTCCCTTTCTTCTTCTCCCTTCTCTTTATTCTTAAACTCATTGGATAGTAAATAGTTATTAGCCACGACAGGAGGTAACGTGAATGGTAAGGGGCTGATCTGGATCTTCTCCATCCCTTCTATCTCGCTCAAACTTTGACCTTCCAGAAGAAGTCTCTGATAATTCTTCCATAGGTTCGCCTGTCCCAGTCTCTTCACTGTCTTTGAGAACATTTTGATTGGCTGCCTCGAGTAGTCTAGGTGCCTTTAGACGTAGCATTCCCTATTGTTGCCTCATCATTCGCCCATAGTTCCGTTGAAAACGCCTTTGTTGGGTTCTAGTCATCTCGTTGAAATGTATCGCCTTTCCAGCCTTATACTGGAACGAATGCCATACATTTGGTTGGCAAGGTTGCGGTCTGAATGTTGTTCTATTATTTACTGGCTTGAACTGCCTCTCAAAAGGTGGTCCCTTATAGAACGTTGTACCCTACCCTCTACCAAGCTAAGCGTTTGGGAAAAAACTAGAGCAATGGTGATGCTGCCATATCCCTAGTTTCTCTGCATTTGCACTCACTTCTTTTTTGCACCTTGCACATAGGACGTCTTCATCCTTTTTGGGCTCCTTTCCTTTGATACATTCAAAGACATTGGGATGTGGTCCAGCTTCTTCTTCTCCATCATCTAACCAATTTGAATTTTGGCAACTTGTTTCTGAAACCAGACTTTACCATGTTCACTCCAAGTGGCTGTGGAAAAGGATTTTCATCCACTGCCATCTTCCTCTTATCATCGAACGTAATTCGTCATTTTTCAATGGCATCCTGTAACACATGGCGAAAAACCAAACAATTGTTAGTCAAATGTGACTATGCATTATGCCACTTACAATATTTTTTACCCTTAATTTGTTCAGGGCTTGGCAATTTATGCTTATCACTCAGCTTTATCTGTTTATCCTTATATAATTTATCAAATATAAGGTCAGTTTTGGTTACATCGAACGAGAACGTTCTAGCCTTTATGTTTTCATCTTTTATAGGCTCATCTTTACCTGACGGTCTAGGCTTAGCCATTATAGGACAAGTATATGTGTCTCCTTTAACTAATTCGGTCAAACACGTTTCGGTTTGATCGTAATACTCGTCGTTAATGGTATGAACATCAAAATTTGGGTCTCTATAATAAGTCACTTTGCTGGAATTTTTCATTTGTTCTTCCTCTCTTATTAATCGTTCATACCTAATCACGTTTGCGCTCAATTGGAAAAGATCAGGAAATTCCTTATCTTGGAACTTTTTCTTCAAATCAAAGCTTAGACAACCTTGAGCGATTTTGACAAACTCCTTTTCGAGCAAAGGTACAAAACATTTACTTCTTACTATTTTGAACCTTTGAAGGAAACCTTCTGCCCATTCGTTTGGTATTTGACGTAGATTTGCCAAATCGGCCAAAGTAACTTCAGATTCAATCTTATAAAACTGAGCGTGGAACAATTGCTCCAATTGTTGTCATGTTTGAACAGAGTTTGCTGGCAAATTGATGAACCAGGAGAAGGCTACTCCTGTTAATGAACTAGGGAATAGCCTCATTTTATGGTAATCAGTTACGTCACCACTTTGCAGTGTGAATCGCCCTATGTGTTCTAGAGTAGACACCTCTCCTAAACCGGTAAACAGTAAGAATTCTAGCACTTTATACCCTCTAGGCCACGGATATGCTTGGTCTACCCAATTAAGATATGGCTTTGTGTAAGTCGGCCTAATGACAGGACGTACTCCGAAAGCCATCTGGTCTTGTACGATTTCCATAATCTGATTCCTCAACATGATGTTGGGGTCTTATGGAATCCCTACAGGTTGGTTGACCGGTTGATTTACTTGAGGCCTGATGTTTGGCCCTTGATTGGGAACAAAGTTACCATGATTTGGGTCATTGTTACTATTAGCCTGAACATTTATTCCCTCATTAACACGTGAGGTATTCTGCCCATTATTTAGGATATTATCTCTTAAATTTGGATTACCCCCCAAGTTAGACGTACTAATGCCACTATTCTGATTTGGCATTGCACCACCCCCCTGGTTTGAAGTAGAGGGATCAAAAGGTGGTTCTACCCCTTGATTCAAACTTAGGACTGGGGGATGATGTCCCACAATTGTCCTAGTTTGAAAGTGATTTATAAAAGGCACAACTAACTGACAAATTTGGCCTACCAACTTATTCATTATTTCGTTCAAAGTATTCAGTTGTTTGGCCATGTTATCATAATGTGCATTCCCATTTTGGGTAAATCTTTTCATATTATGAATACTTCGTAGATTTATCTGTTCAACGACATCTTGTGTGAGTTCTCCGAGTAATGCACGCATGGTTCGAGGACTCAACTCTGTCATTAGTTCGTAGCGACTGTGATTGCTCTGATCCTGTCCATCTGTTCGTGGAGAGCTATGCTACTCCTCATATCGCCCGATCATAGACTGGACTCCTCCCTGGCTTGCTGTTTCCTTATCGGATTTTTGAGGCATACTGTTTCACCTTTTGTATTTTCAACACCAAACACCAATGTCCCACTGGGTGTGCCAAATTATTTCGCGCGGGTAGTCGCTAACAATTAAAAGGGATCAGACGATTGTGCAAGGGACAAACCTCTTGAGACAAAGCCTCAAAAATGGGTGTTTTATTGGCAATGACTTTACAATTGGAACTTAAACAGAAATGCCTCTAAGGGGCTCGAGCACACGAGTACTGAAAAGAAATGTTTTAAGTCTAAACTAAGAAATTGAAATTACATATTCTCTGTTTGAGAGTGTTTGACTCGATCCTTTGCTCTATGTCTTTTCTTCCTTTTATATTCCTTTGATGCTCTCTTTGTGATCAACCGCTTAGAAACCACTTAATTGTTTTATAACTGCCCACTTTTTTCGTGGTGGCCAACTTATCGTGGAACTGCCGTCTCTAACTGCTGTCATTACTCTTTGTCGTTCAACCGTCCTCAACTGAACATCCTTGAATCGTGGAACGTGATAAGATTACCCAATAACTGCTTCGATAATTGCACTTTTGGATAACCGTAACATCTCATGTTTGCTAAGATCCTAGGCGATTCGAAAGTTTGGGCGAGAATCGGATCATAACTCTGGGCGACTGTAAGACATTTGATTCGCTCAGATCCTGAGCGTTTTGTAAGTTTGGGCGATGGTGTTACCGCGTTCGTGACTTCCACTGCATTCATTAATAACCCTATTTGGACCTTTATCCTGAATTGCCCAGTTGGGTTTCATTCTTTGGGCTATTTGAATTGGGCTGCACTTTTAGCATGTCAACAAATGGAATTAAGAGCATGTTTGATATAGATTTGAATCTAATTAACATCAATTTTTTTTTACCGTTATTTCACTATTCCAGTCGTCATTTTTGAATTATTCTCTCACAAATAGGACCAACTTTATCTCTAACGATCAAAAAATCAATTAACAAAATATATACCAAACAAGCACTAATATTTGAATTAAAAAAATATTTTTTTAGCAACTAGAAAGGAATTCAAATAGAGGGCTTATTCGTGCCCAATACAGTTTACAAAACACGTTAGTATCGAATCAAGAAAATGAGTATTCATGCGCGCCAAGTTCTAAATGACCTACCTCGATCTCTCCTAGGTCTCCTTGTTTACGATGTTGCCTACCAGAATCTCAAATGCTTGCTGGCATAATAAAATACCCTTATCTACTATGATCCCTTGATTGCTTGTAGATCAAAGTAGCAACTTTCCGTATATAGCTATTTGTCTTATATTATGGACATACTCGGCCATTAACACCGAGACTCCCCTTAGCTTGCTCGGTCAGTCCATTCCGGGTCATAGTAAACAAAGAATTGTAAGTCTTCTAAAGCTCACACGCGTGTCCTTCACTTGGGTAGTCAATACATTTCATATCATATTTAACTATCTCGTCTAAAAATTTAAATCATTTAAATTATTGTTTCAGAATGCATCTAGCATTGATTACATCAAGGAAGACTCCCATTGGCAAGTTTTCATAGTGTTGCGACTTGGCATCTTATGGATATCACAAAGAAATATTTGGTGGATACGCTGTAAAAAGCATTGGATATCTCAAGGAATGTTGATGCATACGCAGTTTTTGGAATTTACCTCAAGATTTTTTCTTATCTGACATAGAAAACATAGTGGGGAAATATCAGAAAGTTCATAATTTTAATTTCCTGAACATCATATTCTCCATGTGTGCTTCGAGACTGCACGAAAGCATACTAATTCAATGGAACCTGTTATACTGATCCTATGAAAAAATAAGCGAGACGTGTTTGATCATGCTTATACACGGCAAAATGGATTTAGTGCTGCATCTGAGGGTGCTGGTGAGTATTGCATCTATTGCTCTACTTGGCACAAGCTGCAATGGAGGTAAGTTATCGGAATCCACGACGTTATTAAATTTCATTCGTGCAGTCGACCCCGAAAATGTTTTGAGGATTGAGAGAAACAGAATAATGTCTCATCCCTGCTCATATAAATGGAAGGGTGTTAAATGCAATTCAGGAGGCACCGCTGTAATAGAAATAAGACTTGTGAAATTGAACCTTACAGGAATTCTTGATGTAGAATCTCTATGCAGACTACTAAATTTGGAAGTGCTTAGCTTAGCCGGAAATAGCATTAAGGGAACTATTTCTGAGTCGATGTCGAAGTGCAAAAGTCTAACATATTTAGACCTAAGCAGGAATTCTTTAAGTGGGAGAGTACCTACTGCTCTTACTAAGCTAAAGAATCTAAAGAGACTAGACATTTCCCAAAATCAATTCACAGGTCGAGTTGCAACCTTTGGATTGTCAAAATGGTCATTTTCGTGCTTGAAAAATGCCCTTATAACCCAAGATTCAACAGAAAACAGAAAAAATTCGAGTGCAATTCAAGAAAATTTTCCTCGAAAAGCACTGTCAGAAAGCTCTCCTGATGCAAAGTCGCATAAAAATTGGGGTCTTTGGATAAGTTTAGGTCTTGGCATTGTAATTCTTTTACTGGTTTTGCTCTTTTTGATACCAAGAGCTCTTAAACGAGCACGAGAGAAGGCAGTTTTAGTTAATTCTTCATCGAAAAATCCTCCAATCAAAGCTGCGGATGAAGTGCAGCCACAAAAAAGAAAGTCAGAGCTCGTGTTCTTTGTTGAACCGGAGGAAAGGTTTAAATTGGAAGATCTTCTAACAGCAACGACCGGCTTGAAAATGGAGGGGTTCTGCAGCAGCCTTTACATCGTGCAACTCAAGAACGATGCTATTTTTTCTGTCAAGAGATTGAAGAAACTGAGGGTATCCTTGGAGGTGTTTGGCCAGACAATGAGAAAGGTTGGAAACTTGAAGCATCCAAATATCCTTCCTCTGGTTGCCTACCATTCTACTGATAAGGAAAAACTTCTGATCTACAAGTACGAAAGGAATGAGAGCCTGCTAACGCTGTTAGAAAGTAAGTTAACATATGGTGATTTAGTTACATTTTAGCAAGTTTTCTCCTACTTAATGTTATGGATTATGCCCTGATCCCAATTACGTAAGCAGTAATAAGAAAAACAAATCAAAAACACGCAGAGCACACACAGACTTGTACTCATTTACCCTCAAGTTGAGGGCTACGTCCTCTTTTTCATTTTCCAAGAGCACGAACTCAGGAGCTTGCAAGCCGTGAATAAAGTAAAACTTGCAAACTTAAGGAGTTTGTTTGAAGAATATATTTGATTTGACTTTGAACAATTCCAAAACATAAATCTCTGATCAGAACTATCCTCTGCATACATTCATAAGGCTAATTCTTTCTCCTTTGCAGACTATATTGAAGGCAAGAGAAATTTTCCATGGAAACCTCGGGTGTCCATAGCAGCTGGGATAGCAGAAGGTCTCAACTTCATATATCATCGGCCTGATAACGACGAAATCATCCCTCATGGTATCATTAAGCTCTCAAATATCCTCTTAAACGACGAAGAAGAACCACTTATAAGTGAATATGGATATTCAAGATTTCTTGATCCCAGTAGAGATTGTCTCTATAAGTCTAAAGGTTATATCGCCCCGGAGAAAAGTTTAACTGAAAAATCTGATGTATTTAGCTTTGGAGTGATTCTGTTGGAGCTACTAACTGGAAACATTGTCGAAAAAAATGGAATAGACCTTCCAAGGTGGGTGAAATCCAAGGTGAGAGAGGAATGGACTGTAGAAGTCTTTGACAAAGAAGTTGCTGAGAATGAAATGTATGCTATTCCTCTGCTGAATGTTGCGCTGAAATGTGTATCGCATCACCCAAGGGAGCGGCCAACCATTGCTGAGGTTCGAGAGAAGATAGCCGAGGTCATGAGTGCCATGGAAGGTCTTTCGCCTTCGTCCATGGATTCCTCCGAATTCAGCCAACTCGATCGTCTTTCAATCCCTTCTGTGACACCAGAGACTTTGTCCACCACGGGATCAAAATCAAACAAGTGAAGTATGTGCGTTATGGACATGTTTCATAAGCTTGACTTGATAATCACAAACATATTAATGAAGAAAGAAGTCAAAAATCTTATCTATTCTAGTATCTAATCTTGTACAATATTTATGAGCATTTGCTGCAGGTCCTCGGTGAACAACATCTGTTAATAGGCAAGCAAATCGCGGAAAGTGGCAAAACCGAGCTTGGCCCAACCAAGGCTCGTTCGTGCATGGGTTGTTCCGGGCCTTTCTTAAACCAGCTTGGTTCAGCCCGTTTGAAATCACTATGTTAAAGTAAATTCCACTGTACATTATTTCCATAAAGCTGATACCTGAGTTGTTATCAATAATCACATTTCCTCGGACAAAATCACAGAATTTGAGGCAAAAGCAGGAAGCATCTTGTTGCAAAATCAAGTGTTAATATTATTGCTTTTTCCTTTTGTCACACATATATAATAAAGATCCAGCTGGAACTTTAATGAGTCGCTTGCCACTAACTTGAAAATGGTAGACAGACATTCTAAAATTATGGAAATCTTGGCTGTCACATCAGTGCTTCAAATGTAGACATGCCCACATGCTGAATATATCCAATAGATTTAGGTTTTTCTCTGTTGATAATAAATTTGGAGTCAATAGGTAAATTTTTATTGAACCTTTATATCAAGGTGTATATAAGGGATTACATAATGTCCACATATTATTCTATCATTTATCAAATTAAAATGCAATCAACTTTTTTATCTAATCTTTTCACTCTACGTCACTTTTTGTAACTGCTTATGTACCATTTTTATGCACGAGTAGCAAAATTCATCTTTATTATAGCTTAGTTCGAGAGAATTAGTGGATAGTAAATTTAGGAGAAAAAATCTTATTGAATTTGTCAATCCATTAAATAATACATTATGAGAAAGAATTTTAAAATTGAAACTTGGAACTGTGTGTATCAAATCTATCAAACCCAGGGAGCACCAAGCAGCTTGCCTACTCGCGGAGCGATGGAGTCAATTCGAAAAGTAGGACCATTTTGCTAGCCTCTCAGTGAGGTGCAAAGAAAAATTCTTGTTCATGTGGTTTAGCTGAAACTTATCATAATTCAAGATTAGTAATTAAAAAAAAAAACAAAAAAAGAAAAGAAAGAAAGAAAGAAAGAATGGAAGAACATAAATACACATGCAAATATGCAAATGTATAGAGGTTTATTTTCAGTTATAAGAGTTACGATTTATATTTTCGCTACAAAAAATTCGTCCCCAAAAATAATTTACAAAATATTATTAAAATTTGTTATAGTCCTCTTACGATCTGTTTGAATGTAAAGATAAAATTTGAATTAAAATAAAACGAATTACAGGAATTGAATTGTCTAGAAATTTTTTACTGAAATTTGTCAATTATTGTGTTTTATTAGTATAATTTTTCATTTGAAAAATATTGAAATAAAAGTGTCTTTTCGTATTCATTTGACTTTGTTTTTCATGAAAATTGTCAATTTAAGGGATATCCTCTTTTACAATTGTTTCTAGAATTTGTTTTCATTACCAAAGAAAATAATAATAAATAAAAATTCCAATAAAACAAAAAATAATCTATCTTTTGATATTCATTTGACTTTGTTTTACATGAAAATTATCAATTTAAGAGATGTCCTTTTTTACAATTGTTTCTAGAATTTGTTTCAATTGTAAAAAATTAAAAATAAATAAATAAACATGGAAAACCAATTCCAATCATTATTGAAAAACCATGAAACCCAAAAAAATGCTGACGTAGCAGCTAAAGTGGGAAAATCAATTCCCTAAAAAAAATTATCAATCAAACAAGTCAAAAGTGGAAGTTGGAATTTATTTTTCATGGAAAAAATTGGACTATCAAACATAGCCTCAAAGTAGGGATGACAAGTTGCTCGACTCGACGAAATATGGCTAGTGGACGGCTCGGACTCGTAAAATCACGAGCCTTAATGCGAACCGAGCAGGCATCGCCGGGATTCGGCTCACCTACAGTGCGACCCGCTCGTGGGCTCACTTGTTTGGGGACGAGCCATGGCCGAGCAGCTCGTGGCTCGTCTATTTCGAGTGACCAAAATGGTCACTTTTTAAATAAAGTGACCGTTTGGGTCGTTGAAACGGTACTGAATTTTTTCTCTTCCATTATAAATACCTCCCTAACTCCCCATTTTTTTCATATCAATTATCTCATCATTCTCACTTCTCATTTCTCAACCCTCTCAACTCTTTTTTATATCAATTATCGAGTTTTTACTCTCTTGTGCTGTTGTGCAAAATATACAATATCGATTCATTTTTTACAGTTTATTCAATTATAATTTCAATTCATCTAATTCTCAATTCTCACTACATTTTTATTTTTACTAGTTATTATATTTGGATTTCATCATAAACAATCAAACAAAAGGATCAACACTCATTTGTTGAAAGCTTATTCGATACGGGATGTGGGCCACATGGGGAATTGTCTAGGACGCCGCAAAGTCAATTTCCAAATGAATTTGTCAGTCTAAATGACGTACCCATACCTGAAGATGTTCTCATTTACGACCATGAAAGCTACAATCCAATTAATTTGGATAATATTAACGTTTTCAAAACGAAACATGAGAACGAAGATGCCGAATTAAACATCCCAGATGCGAGGGGAAAGTGAAAGGGCAAAAAATAAGCAAAATGTTGGAATCACTTTAAATTGATTTCAATAGGAAAACTCGTCGTTGGCCTCGCCGAATCTAAGGCAGTATGTAAATACTGTCAACAAAAATTGTTATGACAAAAAAGAATTGGTATCACATATCTCAATCGTCACTACAAAGCATGTACTGCCAGACATGGACTTCTTCTAACTGGTCAACACAATTGCAATTTGACAGTCCAGACTCGGTTCTACCTTCTACGACTTCACCCCTATCCACGTGGGTGTATTCGGAGGACAATACTCGAATCGGAATGGTGAAATTTATTGTCGCCACTGAGTTTCCTCTGGCTATTGCCGACATCCAGGCCCCGATTCTACGACTTCACCCCTATCCACGTGGGTGTATTCGGAGGATAATACTCGAACCGGAATGGTAAAATTTGTTGTCGTCACTGAGTTGCCTATGGCTATTGTCGACAACCAACACTTCGTCTCGTTCCTGAAAAAATATATGCAATTAAAGTACGTTGGGGTAAGTCAAAACACTTTTTATGCCGATACAATACAATATTTCAATAATTCAAAATAACAATTAATTATAGATTTGCAACAATATGGAGGTGTTATCTCTTTAACTTCTGATATATGGAAAGAGATTAATAAAAGAGCATATATAGCTGCAATCGCACACTATATAGACTCACTTTGGTGCATGCATAAAAAAATTATTGTTTTTAGAATTATTGAGTTTCTTCACAACGCTAATAATATATATAATATTATTATCAGTATTATTAGAGAATATAATTGCGAGACTAAAATTCAATCTTTTACTTATGATAATGCTAGTGTTAATAAGGTAATCGTCGATAAATTGTGTAGGATACTTCAACCTGATTTTGGTGGGTATTGTTTCATATTCGTTGTATGTGTCATATCTTGAGTTTAATTGTGCAAGATGGCTTAAAATATATAAATGATGAATTTCAAAGAATTAGGAATTCATTAGTATATATTACAATCTCTCCTAATAAAAAATAAATATTTGAAGATTTTTGTGCCGAACTAAGGGTGGCGACTGCTAAAACATTTGTAAGCGACGTAGGCCATAGATGAAACTCTACTTACTTGTTATTAAAGTCATGTGAAGGTTTCAAACATTTAATAACAGACTTTTATAACAATAGATACATTAGAAGCGATGACGATGGTATGTTGAATGAATCCAATTGGGTTTTAGTTTTGAAAATTAAACGATTTTTGACATTTTTTTATGAGACCACAAAAAATTTATCGGACATTTATTATCTCATAAGTTATATGGTACTTAAACGCCTTTATATAATTGCAAGAACATTCCATAAATATAAAAATGATCCTGATTTTAGTGAAATTATAATTGTTATAGAATTAAAGTATAGAAAATATTGGAAAAAATTGCCTATGTTATTTCTTTTAGTATGCGCAATGGACCCCGTTATAATATTACGGGAACTAAATACGTAATTGATCAAATCAATAAAATCTTAATACTTGATACACTTATCACCTATAAGAATTTAGAGTAAACATTATGTGAAATGTATGATTTATATGCGGAAAGAATGGCTGTGAATGTTAGTCGTGTACCCTCTGCACCTACTCCTTCAGCTGAAATTGAAGAAGATGATGCCGAAATAATGAATTTATTTCAAGGCGTTAATACACTTAGATATGATGCAGCTACAATATGTTCATCTAGTGTCATATCGTTTACATTTGCATCTCATCAAACATCGATCGCAACTCAAAATGCGATGCCTGCCAAATTAATTGATTACTTCAATCATAATATGTCAACAGACAGAACAATTAAAAAAGTTCAGAAGAAGTAATTGAATTTTGGCGAAAGTATGAAAGACATTGGCCAATTGTTTTTGCAAATTGCGAAAGATCTGCTGACACCTCTGGATAACACTATTGCTTCGGAGTCTACGTTTAATGCAGGTAAAATGGTTTTGACCGTTGTCAGGAGCCGACTAAAAGAAAATGTTTTGGAAGCGTTAATGTGCGTGAAGGATTGGTAGAACTCTCATTTTCGACTACAAGATAAATACGCTGAAATTGCATGTCGTCGGGTAAGTGATATTTGATTTAATTATATTAATCAAAATTTTCTTATTTTTTTAATCGCTAAATTTAATTTTCTTTAAAAATTGTACACATTACAACAAGTTGTTCGTGTACAATTTTTAACTCTGCCTACTTAAAATTGATGTAACCAGTCCCAAGTCTGGATAAAGAATGAGGATTTACATTTTATCTACTTTAAAAAGAAATCGAAAAAAATGTATTTTAACTCAAAGCATTCCTGCCGCCAGTCCCCTAATTATGGGTAAGTATAGCTAATTTATCTCATTTCCCATACAAAAATGGAACACTTTAAGAAAAACAACAAAATGTTTCATGCTAAGCTACTTTAAAAAGAAATCGAAAAAAATGTATTTTAAAAAACAATTCGTTTTCATTATATAAATATTTTATACTTTATAAAAAAATTATAATATGATAGAAATTAAAAAAAAAAAAAAATATATATATATATATATATATATATATTAAATTATTTTTTTAAAATGCATTAATTATTTGCATTTTTTTAACACTTTTTATTTTTTTTAAAAGTGTCTTCATTAAATTATTGGTATTTTTTTAGTTAAAAAGAAAAAAGAAAAAAAAATGACGAGCCAAGCTCGCGAGCCAAAGCTTGGCTCCGCCCACGAGCTCGTCCAAAATTAAAATCGACTCGTTGAAAACAAGCCACGAGCGCGAGCCGAGCTTTTGAGGTTAAAGGCCGAGCCAACTAGACTCGACCCATTGACATCATTACCTCAAAGCATTCCTGCCGCCAGTCCCCTAATTATGGGTAAGTATAGCTAATTTATCTCATTTCCCATACAAAAATGGAACACTTGAAGAAAAACAACAAAATGTTTCATGCTAAGAACCTATCGTGAAAATTGAAAAGAAATCAAACCAAAAATTCAATCGTAATCGTTTGTGTATAGTATTGTCAACAAAAAGTATGGAATAATTGATTTTTTTCCATTGTATTTCATTTTATTGAGCCCCGGTTTGACAAAGATTTATGAGATTATAAATTGATTGGTCTTGTGAAATTTGTGTTTAAAAGTGAATAAAAGTTGTGAATTAAATTAAATGTGTGATTAAAAATTAAGTTTGATAATTTATAATCTAATAATAATAATAATAAATTGTGTGCATGACCTTAATATGTTTAAATTGATTAAGGTTTTGTTTGTCTACTATTTTACCACATTATTTTTCTACAGTACTCATTTTTAACCACACATTCTTCATTAAAATAATATTACACGTAATTAAAAAAAAAATTCTTTCTTTTTTAACCACATGTTTCAACATCTATCACCATTCCATAATACATTATTCACAAATAATGGAGCACAGACACCCCAAAACTTAATAAAGGACATTCACTACGTGGAAGTGGTTTGAATAGAAAGTATATGGCCAAACACATCTTGATGTCTCTTTTGCATGCTAAAGTAAAAGGCATTCAAAAGAACTTTGAATTTGTTGTGCATTTAGTGAATTGGTCGATATATATGAAAATCGATAATGAACTCATTTATACGAAATTATTATAAGAAAGAGTGCTTTGTTCAAAACTTTGCTACTTAAACATCATTAGTCTTTTATCACGTATTTTCTTAATTTTTCAATTATTGAGTTGTGCTTGAATTTAAGCCAACGTAAAGATTCAATTATGTTTCACAATTAAAAGGAACACGTAGATAATAAAAGATATAAAAGTTATTTTATCATGAATAAAAATTATCTTATAGACATTTAATACAAGCTAAATTTAAAGAAAAATGGATATAACCAAAACTAGAGTTAATTGTTCCAATGGTCACTGAATTTAAGTTCATATCTTTGATTGGTCACTGAAATTTAAAATATCGAATTTTTGTCACTGAATTTAAGTTCATGTCTTTGATTGCTCACTGAAGTTTAAAATGTTGAGCTTTTGCCATTGAATTTTGAAAAATGTTCTACATTACTCACTGAATTTTGAAAAATATTATACATTACTCACTGAATTTTGAAAAATGATGTACATTACCTACTGTAAACTCGATATTTTTCAAAATTCAACAATTATACTAGTGAGTAACTTCTAAAGTTCAGTTGTCAAAACTCAATATTTTAAATTTCAGTGAATAATCTAAGATATGACTTAAGTTTAGTGAGCAATCGAAGACATTGAAATAAGTTTAGTAACCAAAATTTGATATTTTAAACTTCATTGATCAATCAAAGACATGGATCAAAGTTCAGTGACTATTAGAGCAATTAACTCTCAAAACTATACTTTTACGTTTTTTATTTGATATCTACTTATTTTTACTTAAATATATTTTATAATTTATTACACTCCAAAGCTCATCATATACGTCAGGCAGCTCCTTATATTCTTACATCATATGTTCGCCTAACACTGACACAAACAACCTCTCTCTCTCTCTCTCTCTCGCTATATGTTTCACGTATATATATTTAACTCTCCCTAATCTCAGCTAGGAATTCCATTTCTTTTGATTTATTTGAAAGGAGTGGAATAACCAAGAAAAATAAAGGAAGAGAAGAAGAAAAGGTTAAAGAGAGAGAGAGTGAGAGCACGAACGCATCCTCTGTTTTTATTTATGTATAATCTTTTTAGATCTTGGTTCAATCCGATTTTCTCATCTGGGTTCTCTCACTTAAATGGTGGGTTTGGAAATGAATTTATATATTTGATTAAAAATTCAATCTTTAGTTCTGTTTCTGATCAACAATTTTTATTTGAGGGTCATTGATTTACCTGAACTGTGGATTTTCAGGATTGCGAGATTGAATCTTGATTGATGAATGAAGAATCCAATGATTTTAAAATAAATCCAACATTGCCCACTTCTTATTTTATCAGTGCTGAGCTTGGGTTCCTACCTGATTTTCTGGATAAGGTATGATTTTTCTTGGTCGTTGGATTTTCATCTGCACTTGATCTATTTATTTTTTTTATGTTGGATTTTTTGAATATCTGTATTGTGTGACTCAATTAATATATGGCGTGCAAATCCTCTTGTTCTTGAATTGATTCACACGTTTGCATGATCTGATTGTTATTTGTGATTATCATTATATTGTAATCAAATTCTGTGTTCAATTTGCAAGAACATTTGCTTTTATATCTATGCCTTTCGACTTTTTTGTTTGTAAATCATTTGGTTTGATTGAAGATTATTGAATTGTTTGGCAATTGAATACCGGATGCAGAAAATATGGAGTTGGATCTAGGTAAACTGTTTATTGGTGGGATTTCTTGGGACACTAATGAGGAACGTCTTAAAGAATATTTTGGAACATATGGAAAAGTGGTGGAAGCAGTGATCATGAGAGATTGCACCACCGGTCGTGCTCGTGGCTTCGGTTTTGTAGTTTTTGCCAATCCAGCAGTGGCTGAAAGAGTGATTATGGAGAAACACGTGATTGATGGACGAACGGTAAGTATTTTGGTGCTTATACCTTAGAGATTACAATCCTTCGATAATGAAATGTAGCAATATGCATTGGTCAATATTAGATATTTTTTAAGTTCCTTAATGCCATTGTGCTTAAATTAGATAGAATTCAAGTCTTTTGACTTAATAATGGGCAACAGGTTAAGTACCTGCAGCTTTTTAGCTGAAAATGTAGAATGATAAGTTTCCTCTCCTTGCACTTCCAAGGTCCTGAGTTTCGATTCTTCACGAGTTGATAAAATCGAAATTGTCTTCTCTGTATGGACTGTTTACTGTCTTTCACCTTTTCAGGTGGAAGCAAAGAAAGCCATTCCAAGGGATGATCAACATTTAATAACTAGAAATATTGGTAGCATTCAAGGATCACCAAGTCCTGGACGCACAAAAAAGATATTTGTAGGAGGATTAGCATCAAATGTCACTGAGAGTGACTTCAAAAGTTACTTCGATCAGTTTGGTACGATAACAGATGTCGTAGTAATGTATGACCACAACACCCAAAGGCCAAGAGGTTTTGGCTTCATAACATATGATTCAGAGGATGCAGTGGCTATGGTGTTGCACAAAACCTTTCATGAGTTAAATGGTAAGATGGTTGAGGTAAAGCAGGCAGTTCCTAAAGAATTGTCACCGGGACCCAGCCGGAGTCCTTTTGCGGGGTACAACTATGGCTTTAGTAGAGCCATGCTCGGTAACTATGCTGAGGGATACAATTTGAGCTCACTTGGAGGCTATGGGGTCAGGGTGGACGGTAGGTACAGTCCATTAGCTAGTGCTCATGCTGGATTCACGCATTTTGGTTCTCCTTCTTATGGGATGGGTATGAATGTGGAGCAAAGGTTGAATCCTGGCTATGGAGGGGGTTCAAACTTCAATAGTAATCTTGGTTATGGACAGGTTCTGAACCCCTATTTTGGTGGTAATCCAAACAGATATAATACTGCTATTGGTTACAACACCAATAGAAGCAGGGGTGATTCCTTTATAAGTTCACCATCTAGAAATGTGTGGGGAAATGGTGGCTTAAATACTTCTCCAACTAATGTCAGCTCTGGTTCATACTTCGATTCTGGAAGTGGTGGACTGGGAGTCTTTGGAAATAACGGAGCAAACTGGGGAACTTCTCCTATTGCTGCCTCACTTGGAGGGACTTCTTTTGGCTACAGGGGTGGAGAAAACAGTTATGCGGTGGGAACAAGAGGATTTGGACGAAACAGTGGTACTGGTGTAATCACAACGTCTTCTTTCACCACATCGAGTGGTGGTTATGAAGGATCTAATGGGGGCTCGGTCTATGGCAATCCAACTTGGCGAACTGCATCTTCTGACCTAGATAATTCTGGTTCATTTGGTTATGGACTTGGAAACACAGATGATATAACTGCTAAAGCTTCTGAGGATTATGGCACTGACTATAGTATTGCAAATAGACAACCTAAAAGAGGTTATACTTCTATCTTATTCTAAATTTGCAAATACCTTATTTCGAGGACTCAATGAAAATGCTGTATGACTATTCTAAGCTCATCTTATTAAACTAGACTTGGATGACCAAGATTGTTACTTTTTTAATGCACATCATTGTCTACGCCTGTTAATTCGCCAATAAATTCAATAGGAATAGTTCCTTTTATAGAATTTGTAATCTATCCCTTTCTTATTCATAGTTTTCTGATATACCAAACATCAAAGTTGTAATTTTTTGTCCACATTTCGGTAAATTTTCAAAAATATGTTAGTTAAAACTTTTCAATTTCATGTATTTTACTGTACCACAAAGTTTTGACTATTATATTGCGTGTAGTCTCAATATTTGTGTAAACAAGTACACTCCATGGAATCGCATGAAGTAACAAAATAAAAATAAAAGATAGGTAGTAACTAAGTATAGGAAAGTTGTTCATGTGTATCGAACATAAATAATGTTTCAGGGTTAAATTTTATATTTAAACTTGATCTTTATCTAAATGTGACTTTACTCTATTATTTGGCTTTATTATGATTGATAATTTGATATATATGTGTGTGTGTGTACAATAATTAAGTTACATAAATAAGATATAAATAATATTCTTAAACTGGCGAAGATAATTGAGTTATGAAATAAAAATGTCAAGGTTGCCGTCATTTCAAAATTTAAACCCTGTTTTGTTCAGCTAAAATTCACATTTTTAGTAGTTTTCTATAAAAGTTAATTGTATTGAAAAATTTATAAAAATTGTGGATCCCACGAAATTAGTGGTTGAAAATGAGTTTGAGAAAAAATGAATTTTATGAAATTGGGGGGCCAAACATGATTTTAATGTGTCCCTTGTATGATCTTACAATAATCCTGCATATGCACTCATGCTTGTACAAGTTGGTTAGTAATCTCTGAAATAGTTTCATTATTTACTTTTTCAGGAATTGCTGGATAGGAAATGTAAGTATCAGATGTCTGAAGATAATAACAGGAGAAGTGAGAATTCAGAAATGTGGATTGTGAATTTCTTACATATTCCTCATAGCATTTAATTGTATCATTATACAGAGCTAACCAGGTTCTTGTTCAAAGTATACGTCTTCAGACAGAGCAGTTTCGAGGGATTTTGTGAAGATTTGAGATTTGGTTTCTATGCATAACTTAGGTTCCTTTAATGTAAAATCAGATTGCGGGATACATTGTGGAAGATCCATTCTAGTTTATTTTTTGAGCAATCTCTTCAACAAGACGGTTCCATTGGTACAACATGAAGTAGGGAATTTTTTATTTTCCTTTTATACTCTTATCAATTTCACTCTTCGTCGGCCCTATGCCTTTTTGCGACATCTTGTATTTTTCTCTGATTGTATGTGAGCTTCTATTTGATGTACTAGCGTGTGTAGGTTCTCCCATTAATAAAATATTGAATATTTGATTCATTCAAGTCGAATTTCAGTATGATATGATATTGATTCTAACACCATTACTTGATTTAAATTTACGATTCATTACTTTCGTCCAACACCCTTACTTTAGTATAACAATGGTTGTGACGTACAAGAAATTGGTTAAAGTTTGCTGTGCCTTAAAAGGAGAGAGGAGACAAAAGGTGTCCATGGGGTGAGGGCTGTGGGCATAATTTGTGGGCACAGCCCGGACCCGTACATGTTGGATTCATTATTAAAAATTAAAAAATTACAAAGATTGAATAATTTATGGATTTTTCTAAAGTTACAGAATTAATATAGGTAGACTGCTTTTTTTTTTTAAAAAGCCAATCACAGGAAGATAGGTGTCTCCTTTATATTAATTCTATTAAATAAAACCTGTAACTGTAGCAAAGTTCATAATTTATTTTGTTAAGGTCCAAAGAATAATTTTTTTTCCCTAAAAGAATGCTGTCCACTGGCCTTTTCCATTTTTCCTCCCCAACCATTGGAGTCTTGATTTTTCCTCACGGAAAAAGACATCTTCGGCTCTATTTTCTCCTACACAACCCAATATGAACGAATATTCTATGAAGAGGTATAAAGTGAGTTGAGTTCAATCATGATTAAAATGACATGATCAATATTTTTGTGATTCAAGACTACAAGTCCGATGAACCCATTTTCACGGATGGAAAATGCCTTGTCTCACAGAGGTCTACAGGGGAGTAATATGGGGGTGGATCCCATGTGAATACTTTATTAAGGTGAGCTCCACTGTTGTGTGTATTCTGTGAAATGTCTGAATGATTTTTTCAGTAAGTACAGCACCATTCTTCACAAATAGGATAACACACAATCTCGACAAGACAACCGTCCTAGTCCAGCCTGCTCTGGCATCACATCACTCATGAATTTCTTCTTGCATCAGGTTGAATCAGATTCTTTGTGAAAACCGGTAATTACTCAAACTGCATACTTTCATGTAAAATTTCGGGCAAAACGCACGTGGTTCGAGATTAAATGATTTGAAATGATAAAAGACAAGGCTATCTTTCAACTATGCAAGCACGTTGAAGGATTCTGGACAGACGAAATCTTTGCGAGTGGAGATGTTGTCAAGCAGCCAAAAGAAAATAATGGATGGTTTACTTTTGCCCAATGTGATAAACCCTTCAACGACCACTGAAAGTGGTTAATGTCATAATGACAAGCACAGAAAAGAGGATCTATAATGCAGTGTTCAGTATCAACTCGAAGGCAAAAGTTGCAAAAGTTTGACGACAAATCTCGATAATATATGATGACTCACTCAGAAAAAAGCTTATTTTCATCCAAGTCTAAGTCATCGATCCATCATCTAAAGCATGTGCGTGCAGTAACAACCTTAGCAATACACTCATAACATGTTTGATAAGGCGGATTATATAATATTAGGCAATATTAAGAATGACAAGAAATTAAAGTCTTGTTCGCTGTCTTGTCAACTACATCAATATTACATATCGAACGTGCACGTAATGTTGCTAAAAGCGCAAGTCTCGATGAGGATCACCATGTCACCTGTTTACCATAAACCATCAAACGGAAGCTTAGAAGAAAGCTCTACTCCCGTAAAAAACTTTAGAGCCAGAATTATTCGATGATGGTGTTTTCTGATCCGAACTCGAATTGCCAGAGCTGGTTGGCTGGTTTTCAAAGTCTCCTGGAAGCTTCATCTTGGCCAGAGACTCGGTAAATTGCTGCATGCTCTTCATGTACATATCCACAATGTCTTGCTGCACCACCTTTGGCTCTGATTCGATGTTTACAGTGACAACAGGTTTTGCAAAAGTATCATTTGGTGGTCCCCCCAACGCATTACTCCCAGTATCTCCAACATCAGCATTTTTCTCCTTCCGATTGTCTTTAGGAGGTGACAAGTATTCATCATTTGGAGATTTTGAGTCTCCAGGGGTATCAGAAGACTGCGAGCTCAAATGAAGTGAAGCTGATGGAGCTTTATTCTTTGATACACTGCCTAGAGGAGGATTCTGCTTTGAAAATGGGGTCAAACCGATGGTGCCTGTTGAGAAGCTTTCTTCAAGTTGATCACCTACCTCTGAGCTTACGTGATTTTCAGTCCCAGAGATGTCCAGGTTGTCTGAACCATGGGCGTCGTCCAGATTTGTATTTCGGATATCAAAATACTCGGAAACCATCTGATGATTCTCATTCATTACCTTTGGATCAGGGAACTCTATCTTGTCAAAGTCACTCGGGCACGATTCCTGTGATTCTGTGTCCTCTACAGCAGCATCTGCAGCCACAGATGCGGACGGTGCAGGATTTGGAATCACTTCCGGTGAAGCTCCGACATAGGAGAGAGCTAACTGAACATAACCCGCTAGGGAATGGAAGAGGTCAGTTGAGGAGAGTGAAAACTCCTTCTCTAACTTCCCGTTGTTAAGGAAGATTTCAGACAGAGGAACCAAAGCAAACCCCAAAAGTTGATCTTCGAGATAATTTCTCACCCTGCTCAGCATCCATATCTCACATTTGAGGGAGGAATCGACTTTACGAACATCAAGTCGGAGATTCTCATTAAAGATGGGATTTCTCCCACCACCATTAATGATCTTAGTGGAGACCGTATTTTCTGGATCAGTAGTAAGACTAAGCTTCGCATAAACATCTTGATTTTGGTAGATGCAGATGTTATGAATATCTCTAGCCTGATTTATACAAACCTCCAAAACACCAAAGAAGTCTTCTACATTACGCATTGTGGTTTCCTTTCTTTGACAAGCAAATCCCCTTGATAAGTGGCTAGGGTTCTCTGCAAGAAGATTGGTGTTCTGTTTCTCGGGCTCGGCAAAAATTGAAGAACTCTTGAATGGTGACACAACTGACTGAGGGGAATCCATGACGATCTTAGAAATTACCCTGCAAAAAAACAAAAGAACAAGTTTCTTGAAAAACCTAGCCACTCCAAGTTGAACCTTAAATGAAACCTTGCAACATTTTATAAGCTGTGTGGCATGCAAGATATATGAAGACCAGATTTATATGACTAATGCAAGTTTTCCCGCTACATGTTTATCAAAATTGTACACTGTGTTAGAAATTTAATCAGAAAATGAATTTGGTCAGCAGGTTGGGAGCACATTGAAGACAAGATTTATATGAATACATGTAACCCTGTCTAACCACTTAAGTTTTGGATGAGATGGTTAACAAAGCATAATCGCAAATTGCATAATTAATTGCTATAATTAGAAAATGCGTCTCTAACTCTTAACACTTCCCACTCTCCTCATACCAAAGAACTCTCCCCTCACAAAAAGCGGAGTTAATAATTACTATGAATCTCAGAAAAGTTAAAGAAGCCTAAATCACTGCAGAATATTAGAACTTAACAGACCGACATATCAATCTTTAAACTGAATTCACCTTTTAGAACTGCATGATGATGAACCAAGCCCCAAATCGAGAAGTTAGAATGAGCTGGAGAAAAGAATTCGAAAATTGTTAACAAACAGAAATTCAAGTAAACTGGTTGCAACAAAGTATGGGTAATATGTTGGAGGCTAAGCCCGAGAAAATCATTCAAAGTCTTACAAGAGAAAATGGGGAAAATTTTCATAAATTAGAGACCATAATATCCAAAATTTAGGTGTCAAATTTATAAATCCCAGTTGCCCAATTCACAAAGACGTAACACTTACGTACCAATCATCAACAAAAACTTCAAGCAAACCTTAATACAAAAGAAGATTTCAGAAATCCCAAAACTGAGACCATTCCTATGCTTGATTTGATAAGAAGACGCCTTTTAAACCCGAAAGTTGGGAAAAGCCATTAACAGTTCAACCAAGATAACGCCACATACCAACAAAGTTAACACCTATTTTCCAACCCAAAATAGTCATTAACACAAATCTCTCGCAAATCGAAAGAGAAAGCAAACACCAACTTCAGTTCAATTAAAAGTAAAAAGCAAAAACAAAAACAAAAGAGAAAGCAGCAGAGAAATCAAAGCACAAAACATTAAAGCTAAAAAGGGATTAAAATAGTTTCTCGCCTTTAACTCCAACATCAAGCAATTTTTGGCAAAATCAGAAGCTATTTTCCAATACTAAAGACAACCCAATTAGCAAAACGAGGCGACTTAAAAGAAAGCGCAACGCTCAATAGTCAATACGAAGAATAAATCTACGGAAAATGCGTTTTAGGCCCCTAAACCTTTTCAAAACATGGAAAATAGGTCCAATACCTTTCAATTTTTGCTGTAAATTTCTAATGTTTGTGAAAATAAACAGTTGAAGAACCTTTCTCCTAAAAATTCAGTAGGCATGTGAATAGAACATTCTCCACTTTTTAAGGATATAATAGGCAACAAACAAATTTTAGGAACCATCATCAATGGCTAAGATGGGTTGTAGTTGACACTGTTGACCGTTGTGTGAGTCTATTAGTATTTTATTCTTTTTTTAAGCAATCATGTAAAATCTTAGTTTTTGCAAAAATACTTTAATTGTAAGTTCAATAATTGTATCTTTTTTTGTTGTTATGCATTGTTTGAGTAATATGTATGATGTCGTATGGAAATACGAGGAATTTGTCAGACGCTAAATGGTCTCTTTCAATCTTTTATCGTAATTTTTTTTTTAATTCTTTTGAATGGGTAATAGGTGGAATATTACTTTTACCCATTTTAAAAATAATAAAACTTTGAAATAACAGATTTTTAAATGGAAAAATGTCCGAAGGTTCTTTATCTCCTTATTTTCACAAATGTTAAGGACTGAAATGTAAAAAATGGAAGGATCGAAATTTTTCCTTTTTGAAAAGGTTAACCCCAAATGGAATTTCCCCTAAAATCTTACCCAGAAGATAGTGGGATCTCTGTCCTGCAGAAAATCTCGGCTTGGAGCACTCTGGAAGAATTTTATATATAAATGGGTTTATTTCAATTTTCTACATATTTTATTGCAATTTTTTTTTCTAGGTTAAACTCCAACTTTAAGGGTCTCTCACCGCTCTGTCCCGCTCCTGGAGTATCGTGAAAGAGGTTTATCATGGGATGTGTCCCAACATATTAGGGAACAAGAGCTGTATGTACATTGGTGCCCACCAAGAGCTCAATTCATGTTTCAGGAATCGAACTTTCACGCTGCGACTATCGGCAAGACTGAGTGTACCTCATCCTTGTCTTTTGCATCACTGAGATATGTCTTGAGGGCTGCAATTTTTTATTTTTTTATTTTTTTTCTAGATTATATTGGAATTGGAGCGAGTGAGCACGTGCTAATTTTTAGCATTTATTCAAAGATTTACGGATGACTTGGACCATCTTTGTTCAATGTATGTAGGAGAATACATACTTTGTTGACAAAATACCCCCACTAAGGATAGAAAAAGTAAGAATTATCCTTTTAAAACGGTCCCGTGATATGGTCGCCAAGTTGTGCCGTATAAGTCAAATTGAAGTTCAGTTGGAATGCGACCATTTCCATATCTAAAAGATTATAACTTGTCTCGATAAAGTTGTTGAAATTTAATTTAAATCTAATTACTTATTTTCAAAATCAATATACAATCTAGTCACCTGCATTGTCCAGCGAGATTTTGTAATGTAACGGAGTTATCATCATTTTTCTGTTTAATTATAAATTTAATATCACATTCAAGAAATAAATGAAAAAGTAAATACAAACGCTAATATTCACTTCTAATAAATTAATCAACGATCTACCTAATGTCATCCTCCTCCCGATTTACTTGCTTTACATCAAAAACAAAACATGCTACAACTTGGGAGCTTCGAGATCCTTGAGTACGGGTGATTAGTCGGGTAGTGGTGGGAGGCAAGGGGAGGAGAAGAATGTGATTGCATGACAGCAAGGGATTGGATGACGAAGACGAAGACGAAGACGAAGATATATGATATTTTGTCAATAATAAATTTACTTTTAACTTTATTTAGTTATACTGTCAATTTGTATTCACTCACAATTTTCTGTTTACTTAAGTAATTATTTTAGTTTTACATAAAAAAGAACTTCTTATATAGTAGAAAGTATATCGTACATATATAAAAAAGCTAAGGCATTGGCTGGACATGTTCAATAATATATATCGTTCTATACTTTTATTTATTTTTTATTGTGTTAGACGAATTAGGCATAGTCATATTATTTCTCCATTTTTCCACTCGACCGACCATTCCTCTACTCTTCTTCATCTTCTTTCCAGAAATCAAAAAATTTTGAATTATAATTTGCTTAATTGCACATGCTATTATTACGGGTTCATCGGTTCCTCGGACATCGACTTCCATTCTTGGTATTTTTGTTCTATTCTTTTAAGTATAATCTAAAATAAAATAAATTATATACATCTAATACATATTTCTTTTTTATTGAAACTAGCATTGCAAGTTTTTGTATACACGAGGTTTATGTAAGTTTCTTTTTATTTATCTTTTCATTTTGTGATTTTTTTTATTTTTTTTGGGTGAATTAATGAAATTTTGGAGAATTTAATACTTTAATTTGATTTGAATTGACAGAGAAGTCTATATTTTGAAATGATAAATTTGACTCAAATTAAGTCCAGCCGAGCAAAACTCCATCCAGCAGGAGCAGGAGCAGGAGCAGGAGCTCCGTGTTGCTAGCTCTTGTTTATTTAGGTTTTTTATCAGGTGATTAATATTTTGAAGTTTGGAGATTTGGTCTCTATCAAAGAGTTTACTTCATTTTTTATTTGATGTTTCAAAATTTCATGTCTAGATATGTTTAAATTATTAAATTATTCCTGGATGGTGGTTTCCTTAACTTCCAATAATGATAGGAGGTTTTCTCAAATACCACGAATCATGGATGAAGGTTTGGGGTTCTGTTTTTTCAATCTTGGATTTTATTTTTCGTTTTTCTTTTTTGAATTTGTTTTGTTCATGTTATAAATATTTTTTTCGATTAAAATTCTTTTTAATTCTTTTCCTCTTCATGATAAAACTTAAATTTTTAAATTTTAATTAAATAATATTTATATATTCTTTATTTAATTTTTGTAACTTTCTTTTGTTTAATTTATTTTATTTTTCTTATATATTTTTTGAAAATTATTTTAAATTTTTTTTCTTCATATTATAAATATTTTTTTAATTTGAAAAGAATTTTAAATTATTTTTAAAACGTAATTTTTTCACTCTTAATTAAAAAATAATATTTATTTTTAATTTTAATCCATAATTGGAGGTTTTTGAGGAACCTCCTATCATAGATGGAAGTTTCTAGTGGATGGAATTTGGCGCAAGTTGGGACACCTCGTTAAAAAAAAAAAAAAATTGTTTTCAGTGGATGGAGGTTTCGTTTTTCTTTTCTTGTTTTTTAATTTGTTTTATTCATATTATAAATAATTTTTTTCAATTTGAAATTCTTTTTTATTCTTTTCTCTTTATGATAAAACTTAATTTTTTTAATTTTAATTATATACTATTTACATATTCTTTATTTAATTTTTGTAACTTTCTTTTGTTTTGTTTTTATTATATATTTTTTGGGTTAATTTCACAAGCGATCACTGAACTTACGCGAAAATTACAAAATAGTCACTGAAGTTTAAAACTTTGAGTAATGGTCACTTAAGTTTCAGGACGCTTTAAAAAATGTCGCTAAAGTTTAAAAACTTGTAGAAACGGACACTGAAGTTTAAAAACTTTCGAAAATGGTCATTGAAGTTTAAAAACACTTTTTCAATTTTATGGACTACTTTTACGGCAACTTTTCGACCACTTTTGACCACTGATACCGTCGAATTTTGATACCGTTAAAAAACTCACAATGTTCTATTCAATTATGACCCAAAATCTCCATGTAACCCAAGGAATTCGATCGAAAAATCGCCCAAAAATTTGAAAATCTGCCCAAATTTTCAGATTTTTTAGACGGCTTTTGCGGCGATTTTTCGGTGACTTCCAACCACCAAAACTTGGAAAGTCCACAAAGTTCTCTTCAATTATTCAAAATCTCTCCCAAATTTCAAATGATTCGACCAGAATAAATCTAGAAAATCGACTATGCAGAAAGGCGAAAATCTTTCCAGATTCTGGATGCTAATTTTGTGGGTTTATTCCGACTAATCCTTTGAAGTTATTGGAAGATTTTGGGTGATAATTGAAGAAAAAATTATGGGCTTTTCAAAATTATCAAAATTCGACAGTTTTCGTGGTCAGAAGTTGCCGCAAAATTCGCCCAAAAAACTGAAAAATTTGCCCAGATTTTCGTCTTTTCGAGAGCCAACTTTGTGGGTTTATTCCGATCGAATCCTTTGGAGTTTAGGGGATATTTTTGGTAATAATTGAAGAGGACATTGCGGGTTTTTCAATGGTATCAAAATACGGCGGTGTTGGTGGTCGGAAGTTATCTAAAAGTTGCCTGAAAAATAGCCCAAAAAATCTGAAAAATCTACCCAAATTTTATTTTTTTGGATAGCCAACTTTGTGAGTTTATTCCAGCCGAATCCTTTGGAGTTTAGGGGAAATTTTGGATGATAATTGAAGAGAATATATTGAGCTTTCTAATGATATAAAAATCCGATGGTCTTGATGGTCAGAAGTCGTCGAAAAATCACCCAAAAAATCTGAAAATCTGACTTTTGCGACGATTTTTCTATAGAACCCCTTGGAGTTACGAGAAGATTTTGGATGGTAATTGAAGAGGACGTTGTAGGCTTTCCAGTGGTGTCAAAATTCGACGACTATGGTTGGAAGTGGTCGAAAAGTTGTCGCCCCAAAAAATTGAAAAAATATTTTTAAATTTCAATGATCATTTCTGCAAGTTTTTAAACTTCAATGATCGTTTCTGAAAATTTTTAAACTTTAGTGACTGTTTTCGAAAGCGCCCGAAAATTTAAGTGATCGTTACTTAAAGTTTTAAACTTCAGTGATCGTTTTGTAATTTGCATAACTTCAGATATCGTTTGTGAAATTAACC